GAGACATGCAGTTGGTTGAAAAATGCAGTTTCGTTCCATTGACAAAATGTTTTCAATAGAAAACCTCAACAGAGCCCGGCTAACATGTGTGCGCATCTCTTCTCTAAGATCACTCTTCCGTATAACCGTCGTCAATGAACGCTGATTAATGTTTATTGAAATAACACTGTATATTTCCATAAACAATAACGATTACTGGCTACTGCTCATTCAACACACACACTGATTATTCACCCAGATCAAATTCGTAATTGCCCACGAATGACAAAATAATAGAGTAATAATTAACAACTAAATGCACACAAAAACTTTCAACAATCGAATAACATCTGCAATATGCAGCAATGTATCAATCAAATACCTGATAGAGGAACGGTGCCATATTACTGTCATGGTCAGGTGAATAGAATGTGGTTGCAAGTCCGCGATTACCGAGTCGGCCAGTCCTCCCAACACGATGAATGTAGGATGCCCAAGATCGGAAATTTGGTACATCGTAATTGATCACCTAAAACACACCGAAATCTATAACTTAACAATCATCTTATGCTTCAAAAAACTCCAATCAATTTGATGCCACACAAGAACAAGAAACTGAAAGAAGGAAAAGGTAATGTAAAATGTATGAAAGGAAAAGAATGCAAGCTTGAAAATGACTGCATTCAACTATTCACAATAGTACCAAACGTATCAAAAATATGACTGATAAAATTAGGTACATCATGAAGAAACGGCCATCAAAATAAAGTTTACATGATATATATCTTTGAAATCCATTCCACGCGCTAAAGCGTCTGTTGCCACCAGGATATGGCAATCATCCGACTCGAACGCCTTCAAACCTTGATGTCTCAGAATCTGTGTCAAACCACTAAAAGCAATACACTCTCAATACACGCATCATATTCAACCCCAGATCACCCTACTATTACCATCCACTCTACGATTACATGTTCCCTTCTTATTCTATCTTAAAAAAAAAAACTGACACCAGACCAAAAGATTCAAGCAAGTTATTCTTCCAATATCACGAGAAAATAAACGAACCTGTGCACGGGATATGCTTTGAAACCGTACAATGATAAGAAACACGCGATCACACTACACTTCCTTCTCGTGTTCACAAACACAATCGTTTTCGGTGGTGTCGCTTTCTGCTCCCCATCGCGATGCGCATCATCTACAATTCACAATGCAATCAAAACCAAACAACACTCTTATCGTTAGCGGACTATATCAGTGTTCTTTTAGAACAAACTATGAAAATGAATCAATCTACCGTTACAATCTCAACCATCATCTTACACACTAAAAATGACGATCTAATCACCTCCTCACATGTATATCATACAAATGTATACTTCAAATTCCCTTCTTATTGTGGTTGTTGAATGCAACTCGCACGACAACCCACGATACTCAATCTACGAAGGCGAAACACTGGCTAAACAAATCATGCATAAGCACGGTTGAAGCAATCGTTGCCGCATGTCTGTTATTGTCTTAGAGCAGTAGCACTGAAACTTTCCATACGCCCAGGTAATTCAAAACCACAACAAAAAACAATGATGCAACGAAGTCGACTAACCAGTATTCGGATATTGGTCATGCATGATCTTCAGTAGCTCAAAGCGTTTGCTATATTCAGGAGCCTAAAAAAACACATGTTGGATAACTGATATTCAAGTAGGTGATAGAAATTTCCTCTGTTATATTCGGAGTAAGTTTACTAGATATTTGCCGGTTCAGTGCCGCAAACTTTACGTGAGTTGACAAAAAATTCAGTCTGCATGAATTTTGTCGAGAGTACATTTTAATAGAATAAGAAATCTTTTCCGATGACCAAAATTGAGACAGCAAAGCTAGATTTCTCATTCGTTTTTATTGGGATGATATTGAGATGAACTGTAAATCAAACCCACACATCATCATTATAGAATCCCAAATAACATTTAAATAATAACAATTTACGCCGAGGATGATTATAAGGTCACTAGGTGAACGTTTGAAATAAATTCAATGAAGGTGAATGCTTTCGAATACTCATGAATTCTATTGGGTGTGTTGAACGGAACGAGGAAACTCCTAACTCTGCTAATTGATGCTATTAGCTGAAATAATACATTTGGAAGTTGAGTTCACTATTAGTTACAACTGCACAAAAATGGATGAAACGTGAAATATGCAAACAGACAACGCACACATAAAATTCTCTGCTCTACAAGTGCATTCACAGCGTT